ATCGATACGCTAAGCAATAAATTGTCAACCGCAGTATTTTTAATCAGGAGGATGAGGCAGGTAGCGGGAGTGGAATCAGCAAAGCTCACTTACTATTCTACTTTCCACAGCCAAGCCACATACGGTATAATCCTTTGGGGTCAGAGCGCCGAGGCGGAGAGAATCCTTGTGCTACAAAAGCGGGCGATAAGGACAATCTATTGTATGACAAATGCCGAGAGCTGCAGAGAAGTTTTCAAACGTGAAAAGATACTTACCATCACATCAATGTTCATACTTACCTGCTTGAATCATGTACATCGCCAGCAGCATAAATTCACCAGGAACCAAGATTTCCATCAATATAATACAAGAGAGAGAAAGAAAATTTCCATCCCATATTCTAGGATTGTAAAGGCACAGCAACCAATAAAGCATACAGCCATAAAACTTTATAACAAACTACCGGACCACATTAAATCAATGCCGCCACCAGCATTCTCTAAGAACGTAAAGAAAATCCTGATTGAGAATACGCTGTATAAACTGGGTGAATTCCTCCAGTGAAGATGCCTTGGCATTCAATCTTTTTAACATGACAAGCCATGTAAACTTGATGGTGTTTTAACATGCTTCGGATAGGTTGTTTTGTGATATATCGACTAAATTTTGTTAGTTTGTTTCTGTTTATTGCCTAGTTGATGTTGATTTTATTATGTTAATTGTGTCCATTAGTTATCACTGATTTTAAATATTATTGAAATTTAATTTTAATTTTATCAATTGACTTGTATAACGTACATTGATCCGATTGCATGTAATAATAATAATAATAATAATAATTCATTATTGGCCATTTCAATGACCAATTACTGAACAAAAATTATACTATACGCAGACATAATAACACAAAAATTTGTTGAAACTTTCTTTTATTGAAATCTGAAATATTACAAAATTCATTTATTTCTTTTAAATGTATTATTTAAGAATGCTCATAACATTTCTGGTGTTCTGTTAGATAAAATACTATTTTCCATAATTACTTTTCTACAAACAGCCATGCTGGGCAATTTATTATCCTTTAACTCTTTCTGAAATAGTTTGTTCACCTCATTTTTTTCTTTGACCTGCAACTTTATTTGATTTTTACTTTTAATCATCTCACTTATGAGGTGCAGAGATATTTTCTTTAAATATGTGCCACTATTTGCTGCAGTTGCAGGAGATTTATACTGTCCAGAATTTTCATTAAGTCCAGCCATTTTATTTATACAAATGACAACTTCATCATAATTTTGTGGATCAAACAAATCTGCAAATGTTTGTACTTGATGATTCCTTTGTTGGTAATGCCAATAGAAGTTTGCAACACATCGTAATCTACTTCTAATCATTTTGTAAAGATGAGGAGAGCGATATTTCTGTGTTAGCCTGTTTCCAAATAATATTATGAGTTCTTCATTGCGAACTAACTTGCCTATAGTATCAACCCTCATATGGGGTAATATTTTATTCCTCATTATTGAGTTTGCTTTCAAGTTAATAAATGTTTTAACACGACTTGCAACTGTCACATTTCTTTGAAATTTGTTTTTCATCTTAGAACATTTACTGTGATGAGCTCTCAAGGATAAAATTGAATACATTGCAGAACATTTACTACAGGGTAAGTAATGTTCACCATTACGGTTTTTTTTCAGTTGAGGTCTACGAACTACTATAATATCTCCTTTGTTATAATTTTGGTTAGAGTTGTATACAGCATCTCCTTGTTTCCTCAATTTGCTGATGATACTCAATCTCTCTTCATTTTTGACTGGTAAGTTTGCAAATAGCACGACATCTGCCTCGTCTTTATGTTTATTCAGGAAATGTCTTGCTAACTTTGTTTGCTTTGTCTTACAGAATATACAAAAATGTTTTTTTGTAGTGTGATTGGATGACTCTACCCCTAAATAGTTATGATTCACAGTAATCAATTGAAGGTTGAATTCATTATTATTGATGTTGTCTCTGAAGTTTTCATAAGATAGTATTTCTTCATTATCATAATTTGATTCATTCTCAACATTATTTATTCTAGCATTGGGTTTATCCTCTTTAGACGTTTTTTTATCAACACTTGAACCATGTGAAACCTTTTGTTGGTGAGAAACACTCACATATCCTGTTTCCCCATCATCTTCAGAGCTTTCTCCATCACAATCATAGTCTGGATCATGTACATCATCGTTAAAAACACCTGAATATAAAAAATATATAGGTATATTATCCTGACATAATCAAAATGCATAATTGCAAATTATCAAATTTAATATTTTAGATTTTTGCATTCTAAATTTAAATTCATTTAAATTGAAGAAATATTCATTATTATCAATATAAATATTATGTACACAATAATTTTCCCTGAGTGTAATTGGAAAATCTAGAATATTGTCAGAGAAGAAAACAAAATCAAGTTTCTAAAAAATATTAGCATGGAGACTTACACATTGAAATACAGCTAGATGTATTGTTGTGATAAATACTTTCTTCTGGATCCTGTAAAGTCATAATGCAATCATTGATCAGAGATATCTATGGTATACACTTAAAATAACAACTTTTTTCCTACAATTAAAATGTTTGCAAATCCGAGGTTTTAATTTTATCAACTTTGTAACAAAAAATATGCATTGCATTCAGTGAATATTTATATTTATTAGAACAGTTTGTAGATTTCAATGACATCAATGGATCAAATTGCAATATAAAACTATAAAAATGTTTTTACATATCTCATAATAAACCAATTTAAATGTAAGTTTCAATTCATTTGTAATACTTATATTACAATGTCAATTCCTAACATCAAATTTAAAAAGTTTTCTAACAAACTATTCCAGTCTGCTGTCAACCAACAGTACATTTCAAAGCATTAAATGTTGAGAAAAATTTGTTTCTGTTCTGAATGAAAAAAAAATTTTTTTTAGCGATTCATTTTCACTTGTATTATAGATATGCTTCTTAATATAAACTTTACATAGAAAGTCTTGTGCAATCCACAGAGGATGTCGAAAAACAAAAGTGCTAAAATTTTTGAAATACAAGCACATACCTGTTTGTTCAAATTGTTGTTTATTAAGTTTTCTCTACTAACTTCTAAATACCCTGGGTTACATATTATCGAACTTGAAGTATTCATTGTTGCAGACATCTCATCCAGACTGTTCTGACTTGCATCATGCAGTGTCGAAGCATCTAAAATCACATTCATATCCGTCATTCATTTATTTGTAAACAATTGCGAGTCAAGAAACTGATGATAATTATTAATTTAGTACCATAAATTATATACTTACCAGAAATATCGTATCCACTATTTTGGCTTACAAGAGACATTATTTTCAATGTCCGGTTATTTTTTTGTTTCATCATATCTTGATGAAACAAATAATACTTGAACCGCGAAAATAAATATCAAAATTGCCAATATTATAAACTTGCAGAAGTTCAGTTTTGATCCACAAACAATTTATATTCAGGACGATTAGTTATAAAGCGCGATACATCACTTTTCCTACTACTCAATGATGATTAATCTGATTTATTATAAATTGGCGCCAACATTGTAGTTGCGTTCCTGTTTTGTCTGAACATAACCATTTCGCGAAGCTCACAGAGTTCAAAGTGTAGTTTAAGCTCCATCACATCTATTCGGTGATATGCTTATAGTCCGGTGACATTGCCCCTAAAAATACTAATAAAGCTACGGAAATTCCCACAATGCTGAAAATTAGTATAAATGTTCCGAACACTATTCTAAAGAAATGCTAAAAAGTTCTCATCGATCCCATTCTTGGAAAACAATTTATTCAAGGTCAAAGGGCTCAAAAATTGGTTTTCACTTTCTATAGCAAATCAATAAGTTTTATCATAAAATTAGTTCTGACAAAGATGGTTGATCATATGATTATCTATAAAAAAATCTCAATACTTTTTCTAAGAGCCATACTTTCTGAGATATAACGATTCTGTAAGTTGAAAAAATTATAATCTTAATAATACGAATAAGTACGCCAGGTATACACATCATTGAAGCTTTAACAGCTAAAAATATTTATCTATAAGTCAGTGTAACCAGCACATCTAAATAAATTCCTCCTTGTACTAGAGCTCGTGTAAGTGTATCAGGTTTTTGTTTTAAAGAATTATGTATATTTTGCGCCAAAGAATTGAATGAAGGGCATGGAAAAACAATTTTCAGATTCTTGACGTGAAATTATTATTCCAAGTACACTTTCAATCAAAGATTTTGAAGCTGTTGTTGCTCGAATCAAATGTGATTTAGTAGTTGCTGAAGATAAGAATCATAATGATTGCTATAATTCTTTCTTGAAAACATCCACTGGGGGTAAAGTGGGTCGTTCTCAAAATCCGGCAATAGAGGAAATATTTACTTATATCATTGAGAAATGTTTTGAATTAAAAATGAAACTTTGGATTAAAAGACGCTTAAGGTACAATTAAAGCTAAGGTACGGTAATAAAATTATTATCACTGAAAAATCAAGATGATTAACATTCATATGCTTAATAGACAATCATAATGAAATTTTGAATCAAGTGTGGTACGAAAAAAAAGTTCAATGTGAAAGAAGAACGATTTATAATTCCAAATTTAAGGATTCTCAGATATTCAATCCGCAGTGTTTGATAATTCTAGTTACCCTTGGCCATGTCGTATGTTTGAAGATTAAAACAATGACATACCTGAGTTACTAATACACTTTTTGGAACAAATTTAAAAAAATGAACAATCAAGTTTACATCATTTAAAATTAATATTAGGGGGAAAAAGGAGAGGAAGAAGTATTAGACCAGTATGAATCTGCCGAATAATTCTCACCAGTTTTTTGAAATTTATATAGCTTTCGCCATTCCCAATAGTATTATATTATATGATTCAATAGTTTTTACTCAAACAGGATCTTAATAGACGTATAACATCTATTAATATATGTGACGTATTGACCTGCCTCCGTAGCACAGCGGACAGTGTACGCCGCTGTGGTGCGGTAGGTACCGGGTTCGAGCCCCGGGAAAGGCATGGATGTTTGTGTATGTCTTTGATTTGAAAAGTTAAAATGATGATAATTTTTGGGTAATGTACATCGCTTACAAGCCCATTGGCCGTTCGGAACCGGCGTTAAACTGTAGGTCCACTGAATTAAAAAAAAAAAAAATATATGTGACGTAATGAAACACGTTAGAAAAACGCGCCAAGTACACCACCTGGCATCGAAATGTGTGCATACTATGAAGATTTCAACTTTAAGAATCGATATATCTCCGAAACGATGGCTCTTAACAAAAAAGTATTGAATATTTTTATAGACCACTATATGATCTACAATTTTTGTCCGAACTAATTTTATGGTAAAACTTGCTCTTTTACTAAAAAAAGCGAAAAAAGCATTTTTGGGAAATTCAACCTTGAATCAAATTTTTTTTAGGTACGGAAACGATGGAGATTTTTCAGCATTCATTTATAATGGTGTTCCGAAACTTCATATCAATATTTAGCTCTTTGCCAATTTTTTTACTATCACATGTCTGAATTGACTGGACTATTAATAGATGGGATCATATTAATAATTATTTGGAAAGTACTTTGGGAACAACTCAATGATGCTATTATACCCTAAATTCAAATAATATCTGTCAAAACAACTTTGAAACATACTTCTGTTTCTAGTCGCAAGATGAATTATATTAAAAATGAATTGAAATACAAAATTACCTCGGAGGTATCAGTCACATATTCAAAAAACGATTCATTCAATCGAAGATTATGGAATAACACAGTTTCAACGATTTAGCAATTGAAACTATAAATTACAAATGATTCACTTCATAGTAAGTAGAATTCATAGTAAGTAGTGAGATTCACAGGAGTAGTAAGTTATGTCCCCAAACACAAAGCAAGGAAGTCCCCAAACATGATTCAAAGTCCCCGAATAAACGGGTCCTCGAAGTTATCGTTGCGGTTTTGATCAAGTTTGGGGACTGTCCCCAAATACGACAAAATGTCCCTGAACACATCAATACGGAAACAAATTGTCCCCAAACTCAACATTAGCTGTATATATATATATATATATATATATATATATATATATATATATATATATATATATATATATATATATATATATATATATATATATATATATATATATATATATATATATATATATATATATATATATATATATATATATTACAAAGATTTTACGAATTGAAAAAAAAGGTAGAGAAATTTTAGAAATGTTACATATTCGTAAAAATTCAGAAAACAAAGTGAATGAAAGAACAGGTAATAAACATCTTAATTCTATTTACAACGATTCAATAAACCTTAAAAATAAAACTCATAAAATGAATACACAACAATAACCAAACATCACATCTCAAAACTCATTATTTCAAGATCTACTTTCATTTCACACACATAAACCAATAATATACATATTCTGGATGAGTATGAAACTCAAGTATATGTTATTATATATATATATATATATATATATATATATTTCTTGAAATTGATTTATTGCCTGTTTAAGATATTTTATTTCGAAAGTTTTTAGCAATAACAGGCTTTTTTTGATATGAAAAAGTTTTTTTTTGTTGACGTTTCGTTGTTATATTACAACTTTATCAAAACTAATTCATATCAAAAAAAGCCTGTTATTGCGAAAAACTTTCGAAATAATATATATATATATATATATATATATATATATATATATATATATATATATATATATATATATATATATATATATATATGTATATATGTATCTATAAATCACAGTTATTAGAATCACATGGCTTACCATGAGTTTTTCAGAGGTTTCCTCATGGAAAAGAAGACTAAAACTTCCGAAGCGAATGCTCAACCAGAAATATGCCTCTGATACTAAAAATCAATATGTGAAAATAAAAAAAAATAATTTGATTTTTTTTAAAATAAGTTTGACATTTTGATATCTATAGTAATTCATAACATTCAATTATTCATTAGTTTTGACAAAGTTGTGATATACAACGAAGCGTCAACGAAAATAAAGTTCTTCATATCAAAAGAAGCCTGTTATTGCTGAAAACATACAAAATAAATTATCTTAACCGGGCAATAAATCAATTTTCATATATATATATATATATATATATATATATATATATATATATATATATATATATATATATATACTAATAGAATTAAATTTGTAAGTAGGTACTACATGTTGAGCGTTTTGTTTATTTTGAGTATCTTTTATATGATTTTTCGGTAAATTTCAACATTTTTTTAATACATCCTCAAGTCGTAGGTTACCACATATCTGTGTATATTTGACATTTTCTCACTTTCAATTTTTTAGTTGCTCCTGATGAAGAGATAAATATAATTCTCGAAAGCTTGAGATAAAAACAAAAGAGTACACTTATTTCAACCTGAAGACTGCTATCCCAAATACATATTTTCTATTAGTATATTATCAAACCAGTCAAAATATATTTATTTATTTATATATATATATATATATATATATATATATATATATATATAAATCGTATTTCAAAAAACTCAATTAGAATTATTTCTAATTAATTAATTAGATACAGTGAGATCAACAGAAATAAAAAACTACTTTCAAAATAAAAATATATATATATATATATATATATATATATATATATATATATATATATATATATATATATATATATCCTATTATAACTTCTACAGGAGAGAGAACGAGAGGAATAATATCTGGCAACTTTCACGAAGAGAAGATTGTGGAGGTGTACCAGGACTGAATAGTTCTAGAACTACAACACTGATATTAATAGATAAATTCCATTGGTTTTGTTGTATTAATGAGTGGTTGTTGATAGATCTTTCGCTCATTCTTTGGAATGAATCAACAAGGTTTGAAGGCGTGGAAGATGAGTTCGAATTTTATAGGAGAGCAGTGGTTGATTTGATCTAAACCACAGGTTCTCGAACTTGTATTCTCTTCAGCCTGGTAATCGATTTCAGATATAAGGAATCTTAGTGTCTTATAACAAATTACTTTTTCATTTATCTTCCTATGAAATATTTGATCTGCAAGCTGAACATTTCGAATAAATTAATATCACAGCTTCACTCTTTAGTGAAATGACACAAAACAGGCACTGCTTGTGTATCTGTTGATCGATTTGCCACCGGTATTCGATATTCCCAATCGATGTTGTCAGGAATCGTTCAATCTGAATATGTTTTTCAAAAATCATATGAATTGGCCAATGATATTGAAGATGTAGTGATGTCAATAAACACGAATCTTTTTTAGCGTTATGATGTTATTTTGTTCACACGTTTAACACCAATAAATGTACTAACATCATTTGAAATTCTTCTCACAAAAAAACTTTGTGAATTCATTAGTGATTTCAATGGAATAGCACAATCGAAAAATAATTTCAGCAGTACTAAGCGATTAATTATGGAAAATTTACTTGGTCTGTCATTGGTCGAGATGTTCATAGACAATTTGAAACAAAATTTCTCATTTCATCGATTAAACCGTAGTTTTCTGTATTTGTATATATATGCTGACAATTTGTTACGTGACAGGGTCTCCTAGACCACGAACTACAATGTTCCGCAGAAATTTCATCATTTCCTTACATAAAAAATTTCCTCTGTTATCAAAAACAGATATAACAGATTCAATGTTTTAGACCATACAATTCAGAACTTCATTTTGTATTTCTCACAGATATCGTAATAGATAGTACAACCCATGACAAAATAACATGTCACTTACAATGATATGATTTATAGACTTTAGAATATAACTTATTTCAAATATAATTTCAACAAAGAAAACTACATCGTTGAGCACCTCGCTTTTAATGGTGATTATATTTTAGATATCATAAATAATATGCTGCATAAAATCTTGTTAAAATCAGTGTGTCAATTTAAATTTGTTTCATTTACACTGGTTTCATTTGCAATCGGTTTTTTAGTACTTAGTCGACAGTTTACTTATTAGGAAGGATAAAAACAATGATGAATCGTGACTCATAATCAGTTCAAAAAAAATTGCCCTAATATTCAGATGTCCCAAGCACAATTTCTATTTCCGTCCGTATGGACATCCCTCGGCCTGAAATCGACCCCTGGCGTCGCTATAGACTTTGGACATCCCTGGTTGTTAAGTGAATATTCAGCTCAAAAAATTGATTGCTTCTCAGTACCTGAAACTAGCTGTGACGCGTTTGTGACATTAAATTTTAGTGAACGCTCATAAATAGAAAACTGACAATATATATATATATATATATATCAACCAGTTGGTATTTATATAATAAAATTCGGAATCAAGCGACCGATTCAACTCGATATTGATTAGTATTATTGCGTTGGATTCAATAACATACTCGAATTATGAAATAAAGCTCAATTCAATGTAATATTGTAAGTGAATTTATTATGGTTCTGTACACGAAAAAATATGTTTGTCCGAACGAGTCCGTATACTCGTTGAATTGATTCGTAGAAAGTTCTCGTGTGACTTACGTAATTCATTCTATGAATCAAGAAAAATTGTAAAATGAATCGTTCTATTCTGTTACTGTAATTTATCATTCGGACTTCCATTTCGAAATTTTTGAATAGATGTTATAGAATAAGCGCCTTTGGAAAGCTATTTCATAATCTGACCAGAATATTCTGAGAAGTGCATTGAATGAATCAGATCGTTTAATTAAAAGACTAATTAGCTATCATCCTCTCAGTCTATAGTGGTAATGTTTCCTCAAAGAATATTGGTTGATAGATATTGAACTCGTGGAGAAGAAAGATGATGTATGTGTGGTATTATACGAAGAAGAAACCATTTCAATCAAATTTTGAATCGAATTCTTCCGACTCGACTTACTCATGTCCTCTACTGAAATTCGTCTTTCAAGAAACCGCTTTTCAAATTAGGTATTTCCAGGTATTAGGTATTTCTCAAATTTCTGATAAAATTTCTATAATATAATTTC